TTATAATAAAACTAAAAAAAGGAAAGATTTTTTTTTTCGCACGTGAAAAAGTGACGAATGCGTATGAGGTGACATAAAGCAAAAAAATAAAAACAAAACGTCCTTATCATGCCACGTTTCCAAAAAGAAAAAAAAACGTGCTGAATATGTTAATTAATTAATCCAAAATTTAATTAAACTAATCTCGAAATCTCCGCCGTTGGTCGCTCTATCTAACCTCTAGCCCCACGCTGCCTTGGATCCAACGGCCATTGTTCAGTCTCTTGCTTTACGAAGCCGTGTGGTAATTATTATAATGTTGATACGAGTAAATGGGGTCCACGAGGAAGACGATTTTTTGGCCGCCGAGTTTTTGGTTTTTTTTTTTTAATCCGCGTAGCAGCTCCTTCGTGGAAACTAGCTGTAGTTAAGTTAACCATACTGTAGTTAAGGAGTGTGAAAATTTCTATTTATTGCTTGTCATAAATATTTTTAAGTGAATTTTCTTTGTATTTTATTATTTCTTTTAGGTGTTTTTTTTTTGATGGGTCGGGTTAAAAACATCATTAAACATCAAATATTCTTAATATTAATCTGGTATATTTTTTTTAATTCAATTCATAGTTTGAGTTAAGTAGGTTAAGAATCACGACTCTTCACAATAGTATAATATTGTCCACTTTGAGTATAAGCTCTTGTGGCTTTGCTTTGGAGTTCATAAAAAGCTTCATATCAATGAACATGTATTCCTTACTTATAAATCTCCTAATAATCCTCAACAGAGTACATCAAGTTGGTTGGATTCTCATGTCATTTAAATACTATGTAATCAACTTCTCCCTATCCAAGGTTATATACTGTGAGCCGTTGTTGTTACTCTCTTGCCTGTTTAATATAACGTCTCTTTCAAAAATCTCTTTCTACCCTCGTTTTCTAAAACCGAGGCTAGAGGCTCGAGCATACGTCGCTTGGTCACAGGCGGACGCAAAAGCAAATTGGCTTAGCTCACTTGTCGTCGTTAGAAAGTGAGTGCTGCACAATCGCAAATCTACTGCCATCAAGAGTACGATTGTGACAAGTAGATAAATTTTATTTTATTTTATTTTATTTTTAGCAAAAACTACATATTTGACTTTTAAATAAAAGAAAAATTCGAGAATAATGAATAATATTTTATAATTAAAAAAATTATTGGAGAGTAAGTAACTCCTCTAGTGGAGTCATAGATGCAGCATAGGCACGTGTGACCTATATCATTTTTCATTAAATCATAATATTTTCTTTCAATAAATTGTTACAAAATTTTAAAAGGAATAATTGGAATCATATATCATTATAGATTTTGAGAAAATAAAATTATAGATATTTTTATGGGGTTACTATTTTAATTTTTTAGATAAAATGAAAAAAATAATCACGTCCCGGTATAAAGCAGACACGTGTCAAACTCCCATTAGCGAACCGACAAAGACGTCACGTGTCAAACAAACCGAACCGAACCGGACTAGCTAAACCGAACCCTCTGGCAGCTAGAGCTAGTACAGTTCTAAGCGAGGAGTTGAAAAAGACGCCGGGTTTTTGAACGATTAAATCGGCGATAAAAAAAAAAAAGAAGCGTCGTCGTGCCTTCCTCAGCTTAGTTTGCTCCCAAATAAATGGCAATCCGATCGCCCGACATTTCTTAAGACCAAATTTCCCTTTCTTCTCCGATTTGTGTTCTCCAAATTTCAATCGCATGACAGATTATCGTTTGTCGACGATGAATCTTTGGACCGACGAAAACGCGTCGTTGATGGAGGCCTTCATGAACTCCGATCTCTCCTCTTACTGGGCTCCATCGGCTGCGTCGTCTCATTCTCTCCACAACCAACCGCCGCCGCAGTCCTCCGCCTCAACTTCCAATCCGCCGCCGGATCCCCCTAAATCCGTCGCCGTTTTCAATCAGGAGACTCTGCAGCAGCGCCTCCAGGCGCTGATCGACGGCGCTAGGGAGAGCTGGACGTATGCGATTTTCTGGCAGTCGTCGTACGATTACCCCGATGGGTCGGTTTTGGGGTGGGGAGATGGGTATTACAAAGGGGAGGAGGATAAAGGGAAGGGAAAGGCGAAAGTAGTGACGTCGGCGGCTGAGCAAGCTCACCGGAAGAAGGTTCTCCGGGACCTTAACTCTTTGATTTCTGGATCCGCCGCCGGACCGGACGATGCGGTGGATGAGGAGGTTACGGATACGGAGTGGTTCTTTTTGGTTTCCATGACTCAGTCGTTTGTTAATGGAGTGGGGTTACCGAGTCAGGCGTTCTTTGACTCGACGCCGATTTGGATCTCCGGCGCTGATCGGTTGTCGGCGTCGGCCTGTGAACGGGCAAGACAGGGGAAGGTTTTTGGGTTACAGACGATGGTTTGTATTCCTTCTCCAAACGGCGTTGTCGAAATGGGTTCGACGGAATTGATTCACCGGACGTCCGATTTGATGAACAAAGTCAAGATTCTGTTCAATTTCAACAATCTTGAAACGAGTTCTTGGATATCGGAAACCACCGCCGCTGCTTCCACTGCCGACGAAGGAGAAAACGACCCGTCCTCGATGTGGATTAGTGAGCCGTCGAGTACAATCGCCACCACCGTCCCTTCCGGCGACGTTCCGAGGAAGCTAACCCAATCGGAAAATCAACAACAATCCCATCAAAAACAGAGCCAAAGCTTCTTAAACTTCTCCGACTACGGATTTGAATCAAATCCATCAAAGAGCATCACCACCGACACAACCACCACCACTACCACCACCAACACCCCGTCATTCAAGCCGGAATCCGGCGGGATGCTGAACTTCGGGAGCGGAAATCTCTTTTCCAGCCACGCACAGTACATAACAGACGAACAGAACGAAAAAAAGAGATCCCCTCCTTCTAGAAGTAGCAACGACGAAGGAATCCTCTCGTTCACCTCCGGCGTGATTTTACCCTCCTCCGGCAAGGTGAAATCCGGCGACTCTGATCACTCAGATCTGGAAGCTTCCGTGATCCGAGAAGTCGATAGCTGTACAAAATCCATAGAACCCGAAAAACGACCTAGAAAACGAGGCAGAAAACCAGCAAACGGAAGAGAAGAGCCACTGAATCACGTCGAAGCAGAGAGACAACGACGAGAGAAATTAAACCAGAAATTTTACGCTCTCCGAGCCGTAGTTCCAAACGTATCTAAAATGGACAAGGCCTCGCTGCTCGGCGACGCAGTTTCATACATCAACGAACTCAAATCGAAGCTCCAAATCATAGAAACAGAGAAAACAGAGATGGGAAAACATCTAGAGTTCATGAAGAAGGAGATGGGAGGGAAAGATCTAGGGCATTACACAAACACAATCGATCAAGATCTAAAAACAGGGAACAGAAAAGTAATGGAAATAGAAATCGAGGTTAAAATCATGGGATGGGACGCAATGATACGGATTCAAAGCAGTAAGAAGAATCATCCGGCGGCGAGATTGATGACGGCGTTGAAGGATTTGGACTTGGAAATGCTTCATGCGAGTGTGTCTGTAGTGAATGATCTGATGATTCAACAGGCGACAGTGAAGATGGGGAGCAGATGTTACACGCAGGAGCAGCTGAAAATGGCTCTGATCGCCCGAGTCGGCGGCGGCGGCGGTAACCATGGATCGATGTAGAGAAGAAGGGGAAAGGGGTGTGTGTAATTAGGAGTGGGAGGGGACGTTTTTGAGGCTCCCATTAGAGAGAGATTAATAGAGGGAATCTAATATTTGGTAGATTTAGATTATTTTTAGCATTCTCTCTTCTTCATCTTTGTATTTAGTGTAATAATTAGAGTTTATGTGTAGTTTTGTTCCTTATGGAAACTAAATGGAGGATCAAAGACCTTCGGAGTTATGAAAAAACACATACGCTTCCAATGTTCTAACATCTCAAGTTCACCGTCGGCAGATATTGTTTGCGTTGGCTCGTTACGCATCGTCATCAACACGTCTGCTAGAGAGAGGTTTTCACACTCTCATAAGCTTTGACCCGTTACGCATCGCTATCAGTCTCACAATTTTAAACTGGTCTACTATGAGAGTTTTTGTAACGACCCAGATCTACCGCTAGCAGATATTGTCCTCATCGGGCTTTCCCTCAAAGGTTTAAAACGCATTTGCTAGGGGAAGGTTTCCACACGCTTACAGAGGGTGTTTTGTTCTCCTCCCCAATTAACGTGAGCTCTCAGGTTTTCGCACTCTTCACACCCTGATTAGCTTTGACCCGTTAAGTATCTTAACACCCTGATTACCTTTGACCGGTTAAGTATCTTCACATCGTGATTAGCTTTGACTCATTAAGTATCGCTGTCACCATCACTGTTTTAAAACAGGTGTCGTAGGGAGAGGTTTTCACACTCTTGTAAATAATGCTCTGCTACCCTCTCTACCACTTTGGGGCCAACATCATTACAATTTATAACAACCCAAACCCACTCTTAGTAGATATTGTCCGCTTTGGCCTATTACGTAGCATTATCAGTCTCATAGTTCTAAAACCTGTTTATTACGAGAAATTTTCACGCCCTTATAACAAATACTTCGTTCATCTCTCCAATCCATGCGAGATCTCACACACACACACGCTGACTTTGCACTCCCACTTACAAAAGTATGAAGAGTCAAATGTCTACTTTTAGCGTACGACCCATGAGTGGTGATTTGGGTCGTTTAGATTTATAGTCTCAATGCTCGAACATGAACATCAAATTGTTGGCGCTTACTCCTACCAATTACAAGAGTGCAAGTAATTAGAACACGATCTGTGATGGGCATGCAAAGACGGAAGAGACATGCAAATCAGGCTTCCAAGTTCAACAAGCAGCCAACGGGAGGTATCCATAGAAATTGACTACAATAAATTTAGGTGTTATAACTATTTTGAAATTGAGATGAGAGGCAACAAGAAACCCTAAAATTAGAGGGTTAATTAAAGCGTTAAGGCAATGGAAAGCCCTAAAATTAGAGAGTTGTTACCCTAAATTTCTGTACAAAATTCCCCCAAATTGAATCGCTCCCCTCCGTCGTCCTCCTCCGTAACCATGACTCTGAACTGCCTCTCCTGTCAACTCTTACAGAGAACGGACTCCGAGAGAGACCCCGACCCGCAGCTCCAAAACTACTACTCCGGTCAGATAGAGCCGTCGGGGAGAAGCTGGTCCGGCAACCTCTCTTTCCGGCCTCCCGATCGCCCAAAGAAAGAAGCGCTTCGAGCCCTGCCTGAGGACCAGGCGCCTCCCGTCGCCCCCCGCCGTCTTCATAGCTCCGGCCCCATCTCTTTGGGCAGCAAGGAGCCGAAGCTGGTTCGAAGCTCCGGGATGAGGAGGGATTGGAGCTTCGAGGATCTCAGAGCCATTCGAGAGGAAAAATAACCGTCTCATACACACACTAGACCCATTCTATTTTTTTCTTTTTTATTTTTAATATATGTATATGTGTATATATATATACATATACATATACATATACATATACATATACATATAATATATGTATATTTATGTTTTTTATTTTCTTTAAATTTCATCACATGTGTTTTATTTGGACTTACAATGATGAAATAATGTATTATTATAAAAACTAAATTATTATTTTATTTTGACTTTTCAACTTTTAATTCCGACTATATCCTTAAGGTGTGAGATCAGTTAACGACTATATCCTTAGAATCATGTTCTTGAAAGGACAGTTCTTTTGTATAAGCATTGGTTGTATGCTAGATGGTTTTATTCTTTCGACATGGACCACTTGGGTCATTTTGCAACTATGTTCGGAAGGATTCATCGTACCATTTGAAAGATTTTATTGTCGATTGGTTGATAATCGTGATGATAGATAGATACATGTATATTATCACGTGGTGTGGTGCTTTTGATAGACATGATGTATAATTCTATCAATATCTCGTTGCACTAAAAACTAGGTGAGCCATTACAAATGGTATCAACAAAGTGGACAAATCTGCTAGAAGTGGCCTTGAGTCATAAAAAATGGTATCAGATCCCGACACTGGGTGAAGAGTAGATGATTTATAAGAGCCCAACACCGGATGAAGAGTAGACGAGTTTTAAAACTGTGAGGCTGACGACGATATGTAACGAGTCAAAGCTAACAATATCTGCTAGTAGTGGGCTTGAGTCATTACAAATGGTATCAACGGGCCAAAATGAACAATATTTGCTAGCAGTGGGCTCGAGCCATTACAAATGAATATTAGAGCCCGACACCGGATATTCTAGCAGTGGACTTGAGCCATTACAAATGGTATCAACGGGCCAAAGTGGACAAATCTACTAACAGTGGCCTTGAGCCATAACAAATGGTATCAAAGCCCAACATTGGGTGAAGAGTAGACGAGTTTTAAAACTGTGAGGCTGACGACGAAATGTAAAGGGTCAAATCGGACAATATCTGTTAGTAGTGGGCTTGAGCCAGGCCAAATTGGACAATATCTACTAATAGTGGGATTGAGCCATTACAAATGATATCAACAGGCCAAAATGAGCAATATCTGGTAGTAGTAGGCTCGAGCCATTACAAATGGTATCAGAGCCCGACACTGGATATTCTAGTAGTGGGCTTGAGCCATTACAAATGGTATTAGGGCCAGACATCGAGCAATGACGCTGACCCCAAAGGGAGGAAAACAAAGCATTCTTTACGTAAAACCTCTCTTTAATAGACAATATTTTAAAATCATGAGGCCGACAATTATACGTAACGTAACGGGCCATGTGACGACGCATGCAGGTGGGCGGGCTATCAAAAGCCCACAAATACTTGAGAACTTGGGCTCTTTCTCTCTCTTCCATCGCCGGTTGATCTGTAGAACAAATATCTGGCCATAGCATACAGAATCATTCCATTTGTTGATTTTCCTTCAATTTTCCCGTTGACTTCCCAATCAAAAATTGGGTTTGGCCTTCTTGTCCTTTTGATCCGATTGTTAGGTTTTTCTTCATATATTTGATCTCTCTCTCTCCTTCGGCTTTGGACCTTTTCTTCGTCGTCTCAGATCCTCAACTTCACCGCGTTATTTCTTTCAACTTCCCAGTTCCCACCCTTCGGTCTTCATTTTTGTTCTCCGTGTTCTTCATAGTGTTCAAGACGTCAGAATCCTTGTCTTCTTGAAAGCCTATTTGATTTGGTTGCTCGCGGAGACCATGCGGTGGTCGATTGCTTCACGGATTTTTAAATTGCGGAGGACGATCAAAGTAAGGGTATGATTTCGTTTTTCTGCTTTGTGGTTGAATTCTTACTGTTGTGTTCGGCCTGAATCTTGAAATTTCTGGTGAGATTTGATTTAGAAAGTGTTTTCTAGGTTTTCTGTTGGAGGATTGTGATTGTTTAGATTGTTAAGAGAAGTGAAATTTGATTTGTTTGGTGTTTTGTTGGGATAAGTTCTTGTGGAAATGGATAGGAATAGGCAGAATGAGAATTTAGGCGTGAACAAATTGGGGAAGAACATTAGGAAGAGCCCAATTCACCAGCCAAATTTTGGAAATAATGCTGCTAGGCCTCAACCCCAGCCACAAATTTACAATATAAGCAAGAATGATTTTAGGAACATTGTTCAGCAGCTTACAGGCTCACCATCTCAGGACCCTCACCCTCCTAGAGCTCCACAAAATCCACCAAAACCCCAAAGCTTGAGGTTGCAGAGAATACGACCTCCTCCGTTAACGCCGATTAATCGACCGAACATGCCTGCTCCTATCCCTGCCCCTGTTCCTGTGCCTCCACCCCAGGCTCTACTCACTAATAATGTGCCAAGGCCTGCACAATTTGCTCAGCCACCTCCTAGACAATTACCACCATTGGCACCGGGAGGAGACTCGCTTTGGCCGAACCCTGCTGCTGAGTCCCCCATTTCAGCATACATGCGTTACCTTCAAAATTCAATGATGAATCCATCTCCAATGGCGAACCAGTTACCACAAACGCAGATTCCTGGTCAAATGCATCCTCCTCAAGCACCACCATCTGGTTTATTGCCTTATCCTAATCCACCTGTTCCTGCTCTTCCACCCTCGAGATTAAACGGTCCTCCACCGCCCGTGCCAAACTTTCCTTCACCGAACTGGAACGCTCCCGCCCTTTTACCGTCCCCAACTTCCCAGTTTCTATTGCCTTCTCCTACTGGCTACTACAATTTGTTGTCCCCAAAATCACCATATCCATTACTTTCTCCAGGAATACAGTTTTCTCCGCCGCTGACTCCTAATTTTTCATTTCCATCCACGCCTCAATCAGGGATCTTAGGTCCAGGGCCTCATCCACCACCTTCCCCAGGGGTTATGTTCCCATTGTCTCCTTCCGGGTTTTTTCCCATCTTGAGTCCAAGATGGAGAGATCAATAACCCTCCAAGCGTTTTCGTGTTTAATCGTTCCATGCCTGCTGACATTTTCATCTGCTTGTGAAGATGGTTACCAAGCTCATGGTGTAAGCTACCTAGCTGCCCTTTTTCTGTTTTATATCTTTCTATTAGTTTAATCTTTTTAACATTTTAAATTGTAAAATCCTTCTGCTTCTCATTTTGGGTCTGGAAAATCTGATTCTGTAACTTCTGTAATTCCTAGTAGGCAATATATAGTGAAGATCAAGCCACCAAAATTGTAATACTATTTGTAACAGGAAGAACAGAGCTGTAACCTTAGACATAGGATCATAGATGTCGAGTTGATAACATGGTTGGTGGGTCGGTCGGTCTAGTTGAATAATAGTCCAATTCTGTAAGATTGATTGAACGAATATTGTTTGGTATCTAAGTTCTTCTTTTAGCTGGCTTGTAGAGGGAAATGTAGAAGTTGTGCATTTTTTATGCCTTTTTATTGTTCTTTATCATTTCATATTACCCTTTTGTGGCTGTTCTTCCATTCTTGTAGCTGCTTGCTTCTGTTATACAAAGTTTAAATGATCATGAGAGTGGCTCTGTTAGCCCTACCGGTTGGAAAGGAATGCTTGAAATTGTTTCTGTGAATCGGAGAATGTTAAAGTTAACGGGTTATAAACCTAACACGATATCTAGTAAAAGTAGAAATTTTGAGAAGAAATTAGGTGACCCAAGAGAGAAATTTATTACTTTCTCCTCGAGCTAAAATAGGGAGGAAAAACAAAAGTTTAGAGACCTAAATAAAAGTCATGAAAAAGTAGAGTTTTCGAACTTGACATTGTAATGTTCGAAGTTCAAGTTTAATACATTTTGGTCTATCCGAAGAGTTTTATGCTAATTACTAATGGTCTAAACTAGGGTAACATTGTCGAGTTTAAGAACTCGGAAACCAAAATGCTACTTAAATCCAAAATTCGGGGACCAAAAGTGTAATTTTCTCTTAATTTTAGAATAATAAATAAATAAATGTTTGAATTTTTTTGTATTTTTGAGGATTTGAAGGGACAAAAAAATATCATATAAGATTATGAGCTTTCCATTTCAAAGATCCAAAAAACGATGTATGAACGTGAAGCAAAAATTCCCTCAATTTATAATAAATTTCTCCTTTTGTAATCTTCTCTCTCATCTTAAATTATTCTCTCTCTCTTCATTATCATCTCAAAGTTTTCTGTTTGTGTGGAATAAATTAATCTTAACATTTCAATGTTAAATTTTTGAAATGTTAAATTTTTTTTTGCATAGCTTAGAGTGTCGAATAAATGGTATATTTTGTTCGAGGGCTCCAAAGAAAGGGGTCGAGTCTCGATTAAGGGGAGGCTATTTGAGAGCTCTATAAGCCTCATGGGAGACTTATAGTGTACTTTGTTTGAAGGAAGAATTGTTGGCAGTGAGTCCCACATTGGTTAATTTAGGGAATAATCATGAGTTCAGAAATACATCTGTATTGGTATTGGTATGAGGTTTTTGGGGAAGCCTAAAGCAAAGCTACAACAATATCATACTATTGTGGAGAACTTACAAATATTAATTTTAAGACTTATTAAAAGCAATGGACTAAAATAGAATAAAACTCTCAAGTACATGGACCAAAGTGATATTATAACTAATTTAACGAGTTAAGTTTATGGTTAGATCATAAGCATAATCCGATCTGATTAGATCATAAGCATAATCCGATCTGATCCAAACCTTTACAAATGTTTAGGTCGGTTGGTCTCGAGCCTAGTCCAACCCTATTATCTATATGTGCGTTTGGTGGGTGTGGTGCGCGTATAATAGTATGAATGAAAATGCATTATTTATTGGGCAAGTTGGCAAGTTGCAATGCAAGGGGTCTAAAATTGGGCCCTCCCCATCCCAATTATGCAATTCCATTTAAGTGTAGCACTCATAGACAAGGAGAAGGCCACAAACAATGCAAAAATGGTTTCTCTCTCCTAATTTGAGATAATGATTTAAAGTTGCATCACTTTCACCCCTATCACCTTCACCACCTCCCTAATTCCCATTTCTCTCATGACCTAAAATTGTGAGAGCGTAGGTCTCAATTTTCGACTTGTGAGAACGTAATCGATAGCTTATGCGTTGACATTGAATATCTTTTATGAATCAATTAATGTTTGTTATAGCATTGTTGTGGATCGCGTGTTACCTCCCCGTCAATACAAAATAATTTCTAGATAGCGCAAATGCTTCCTTCTACGACGGAACGCTTCTCTATTGATGCATTTTACACCCCATAGTTTTGATAGATCGCTTAGCTCCGTTCATCTTCGGCGCAAGAGCGCTCGATTAGCAAGCTATTATTCTCTCTTTCTAAAGTGATTGCTTCTAGGCTAACCTTTTGGCTATCTCTGCACCTCTACCTTCTTTATCACTGAGCGGTCATTTAGGGGCCTTAGCTGGTGATCCGAGCTGTTTCCCTGCAATGATGAAATTTATACCCCATTGTCTCACTAGCCGACCTTGACCCATGTTATTTTGAGATCATATCTAGTTGTCAGAATTTTGAACATTCAACTTATGATTTATGGGTATTATTTTACCACCGAGCTATCGTAGTAAGTACGTATGTATGTGTGTTGACGATGGTAAGAATCTCGTTAGTGGGCGAAGCTAGGAATTCAACTCGGGTGCGATTTAATATCCAATGTTGGATGTTGACTATTTCAATTTCCAAAATCTAAACAAAATCAAATTGAATGGTTGATATATGATGAATTGTTTCAAGGGGTTAGCCCTTATGACCCACATGCATGAACATACCCTTCCTTTTTCATACACATCACTTTAAAGGTGATTTGAGACATGAAGGAAAAAAGAAAAAAAGGGTGAAAGTTAGAATTTTTTAGGAAATCGACTCTCAATCGGTTGAAATTGAGACGTCCCATAGTTTTGCTATTCTGAAACCTCTATATCTAAAGCTCATTTTCCTTTAATGGGATGTTGACTTTTTACCGCTCGATATATATGCGTTAAAGAAACTAAACACTAATTACACAAACTTAGATTTTTGAGAACTTTAATATAACGTTCCATACACATGATTTGAATTCCGGTTTAAAATTCAAATATAATATCTAACGACTCCTACATTTCTCTGCATACCCTACGACATAACCATCACCTACTTATTGCTTTTAAGAGTGAAAACTACACAAACATAGTTCTAAACGAAGAACGTTTAACTATGAGATTCTTATGATTGACGTAAATAACAGCTTTCAATTCTTTTAAATCTTTTTTAACTATCATATATTAGGATCGTCGCAATTTGAATGTGATATCGATTCATTATGTGTCTTTCATTTGTTTGAAGGTACATAACAACAAATCAAACGTGAACGAGTGGATTCTATTTTTTATTTTGAATTCTTAATTAGTTAGGCACAACATTATTAACAAAGATTCCTTGTGGTACAAGTAGGATATTGCCATTTAGTCTATTAATTTATTTAATGAGTTTTGCAAATTATAAAAGGTTTTTAGCATTTAAAGAGATTTTCAAATAATAGCCGTCCTATCATCAATCCATCTCAATTATTACAATAAATAAATAAATAAATATAGCTAATTTTAAGGATGAAATAAAATCAAATAATTCATAAATAAATGGTTTACAAATGTAGGATGAAATTTTAAAATACATAATTATATTAATTTTTTTTAATAAATATAAAATTAAATAGGTTAATTTATTATTTATTTTTTGAGTTCTAATTTTTAGTTATAATAGGTTAATTATCTCTACCATTAAAGAATAATTTTATGATAATTTTAATTTCACAATTATTCCACGTTAAATCAGACACGATGATCAAATACTCTCAAATATTTTACACAATAAAATAAATAAAAGAGAAGAAATTTACTAACGACACCGTTTCGGGAGCTTTGTACACCGCAATCCAAGCCCACTAGGTCTCTTGGTGCCCTTGACTCACCTGTTGAAATCAAGGACATTTTCGTACTTTCCACAAACCGAAAAAATTAAACCAAAAGAAGCAGAAAAATCCAGAATCTTCCAAGAAAATGACGAGCAAAACTCGAGAAGATGAAGATGAAGATGCACAAAATCATCAAGAGAAATTAATATCAACCGATCTCAAATTCATTTTCGTTTTCAAATTTTACTTGTTCTTGATACGGAGAGATGTTCATTGTTTAGATCGCTGGAAGAAGATTTTACCGATTATCTCCACGATTCATCACTTCGGCGACGGACGCCAATTTCTGTAGATTCAGTTTCACAACCGTATCGGCGAACAAACGAGCATCCTCCTCCGTATTCCCCGGCGGAACATCCACTGCGTACGATTCCAAAACCACGCTCCAGATCTTGCCGTCCCGCTCCAACTGATGCACCGAAGTCACCGAACGGTAATTCCGGAGGCGGTGCTCACCGCCGATGATGCTGAATCCGATGACGCGCCGCTCGTCGTCGTGAATATCGAGTCTCTCCTTACTAGTATCCGCTGGTAGGCCTGAGATTACATTAACCTCTCTCGTACAACCTAGCTTCATTGTGAATCCTTCGCTCACCGTACAACTCTTGATGAAGTGCTTGTAACTCTGCGGCTTGTCGAACCGCCGTACGATGGACCACACGGTATCCGGTGGCGCCTGCACGCGCTGCGCCAGTAAGGAGGAGCACCGGCCGCGGCTGAGTTTGTACATGTGGAACTCCGCTACTAAGTCCCTCAACTCGTCGAACTCGTCCTGAGTCAGACCGGAAGGCGTTGCGGCGAGATGGTAAGTGGTGAGATAAGTTTCATCGGCGTTTGGTTGCTGCTGCTGCTCCGTCACTACCGCCGAGACCTCACCGTCGCCTTCGCCGCTGTAGTCCTTTTCCATTTTTCTCCAAAATCTTCTTCTCACGCCTTTCTTAATTTTTTGCGGAATATAAAGATGAGTGAGAGGAAGAGGAAAGAGAGCAAGGACCTCACCTCTTCTTTGTTTCATTATTTGTTCGTTTGTGATTTCGATTTCTGAGGGTAAAATGGGAATATCAAAATATATGTTTTCAATATTTAACTCCCGATAATATATGTCTAAACCAATTGAAACAATTAGGATGATTTATGTTTTTCAATTAAACACGACTCCATGTATACCACACAGTGTTCTACTATCAGCCTTTGCTCGATTACGTATTAATTAATATTCGATTGATTATTTTTTATTTTTAAAATTTATGTTAGTTTATTTCTAGTGTTTTTATAATACGTTCCGTGTTTTTCAATTAATGCTAATTTTACGAAGGCAGTCAAAAATGACTAAGACTCCAAAGGAGTCGAACCTCGATTAAGGGGAGGCGTGCTTTGTTCGAGGGGAGGTGTTAGATGATGAAAGTCCCACATCGGTTAATTTAGGGAATGGTCATGGGTTTATAATCTAAGAATACACTCTCCATTGGAATGAGGCCTTTTG